GTACAACTGACTGGCCGCATCTCGCTATGCGATGGAGTAGCGAGCGACGAAATTCCAAGAGTCAAGCCAACTTTAGTTAACTCTAAATCTAACAACACTTTAAGATATGAATGCAATATATTAACAGTAGAATAATAAGATACTGTATTCTAAAGAGTCAACAATCTGTGTATATTATACGTAACTAGCACCACCAGCACAGCGCTGGCTCGACGTGCACGGCTCTCAGCGTGCACACATCTCTCAGTCAGTATACAGTCCCTAGGCTAGTAGTACTAACACATCACAATTATTAGCTATGCAAGCCTACATATTATTAACAACAGAACTGATAGCTTACCGAAGATTTGTGGCTTCTAATAACTTATCCTCGCCTTATAGGGCAACGTTTTTACATAAATCAAACCAGGTTTCTTCACTTCTGTAATTCAAACCAATCAACAAGTACCGCCATGACTTTGCTTCTTCATAGCAAGTGCGCCCTCAATAGTTAAGAGAATTATACTATAGATAACTCATTACATACGGTAACTAAAAAAGTACTACGCTACTTTTATAGCTAGCTAGGCCTAGTCTAGTACTACCTACTACTGTAGGTACTGTACTGCAGAGGCCTATTTTAATACACTATTTAGATAGGCTCTTCTTTTCCCATCTTTTGGCAGAGGTCGAAAAATTTTTTTCATTTCTTAAAACTTATATAGTGGTGTAGAATAGTCTTTTAAGAACATTTCCAGAAAAAAATAATGTGATACGATTCTTCGTTACGGAGTTATTGATTTTTAAGTAACATGAGTTCAATAATTTTGCCTCGAAGCTTATCTTATTTTTGTTGGCTACGCACCACTGACTTGATCAATTGGCACCAAAGATCTTATAAACACAAGATAGCGTTCTCCGCGATTTACGCGTAACAAATAGAAGCGTCGGTCAAGGTTCAAAAGTTTCCAGTTTAGCAAGAGGGCGTCATTCATGCGCTATTATACCAACTCTCTCTATATAGGAATTCTAGTAATGATCACTACCGACTAATAAAATAATAATTTACTGACTCCCTCTTTTAAAACAGAACAAAAGTTACAAGTAAAGATAAAATAAATAAAAAAAGAAAGAGATAATTATAGTAATTAATTTTTTTTTAATCCAAATGCAATAAAATTAATATTATACTAAAATATAAAATCTTAACTAAAATGAAAAAAAAATTGAAAAAGTCAATAAAAATAAATAAATCAATCAAAACAAACACATAATATAATAAATGCAATGTGAAATGGATGTAAAAACATACATCAAATACACAACAGAAGTACAGTTAATGCCTATGCATAAAATCATGTAAAGAAAGAAGAAAGAAAAAAAAAACTTATAAACTATTAACATTATTAGCAGGGTCATTTAAGACGTGTGTCCGTTTTTCCCATGCATCTTTTAGATATTCTTTAATAATACATGTATCAAAAATTAAACCAAGAGTGGAATTTGTTGAGAAAAGATCATCAAGCAAATAATGAATTTTTAGATCTGGTGAACCATTGGAGAAATTTTCCCAATATGCATGTAAATTATTTTTAAGTAGAGCAATAGAGCAATTCTACTAGACTAGTTCTACCAAGGTAAGTCCTTGGTTCTATGGTTCTACCGTGACTGACTCTGAGAACGTCTCTAGGGCCTTGACAGTAGTAGCCTAGGCCTAGGCATACCTAGTCTATGTCTACTTGCTTTTTTCTTCTTAAAAAAGGAACGATTTTTTTTAATTGACCTATCTATGAAATCATACTTAGAAAGATCATAACAATTAATAAAAGGTTAAATTAAAAAAAGAACGTCACGGACAGGATTCGAACCTGTGCGGGGAGACCCCATTGGATTTCGAGTCCAACGCCTTAACCACTCGGCCACCGTGACATGCGCATACTACCTTGCAATTATAGCAAATGTAGGCTGCAATAAGGAGACTAACTGTTTTAATAATACCGTAGACCATGTGTAGACTATGCAGCTTAATTTATATCTATGGTGTAGGCCTAGGCTAGACCAAAATAATAATTATAGCAATAATGCTAATTTAACATTTTGTTTTGACTGTATTCACTGGCGTATTTAGAGGGTTGAGAGAAGAGGGACGCACTTCCCCAAATATTCCTTGCGCCCCTCCCCCACCAGTCTTCTCTCCTCTCCACCACCATTCTTCTTCCCGGTGTAGCCGATCATTTCGGTCGCGCTTCGTTTCGGTCGCGGTTTATTTCGAAAAATATATGGAGCGCCGAAGGAGTTGCGAAAACGCAAAATTTAATATGCCTAGGCCCTATATATTATAATTAGTTC